GAAATTATCAATAGTAAATCCAAACATCTGGATACATACCTAAAACCCATTGATGATTTATTCTCCGTGGTACTCATTGTCGTTCCATAGGTCAAACTTAACTATTTTAATTAATTGACATTGTGTCTGCTATATCAGGAGGATCAGGAAACGGCTCCGGCGATAAGGACGCGTTTCACAACATGTTTCCCAATCAGCAAACGCATAAGTACCGGCTATTAAAATACGTATCAAACCACGAGCCCACTTTGTTACTTGTGAACGTTAACCGCAAAAAATGACCTTAGAAAATATTCCACTTCTATTTTCGTAACCGGTTAAATGTTTAAATATTATAACTAAATACATTAAATAAACTTTATTAGTTTACGTATTTATTACGTATATATTATATTACATATAGACCAACTATTATAACCTGAAATTTTTAATAATAAAAATTAAAAGAAATTATTCCGTCGATTGTTTGAGTAAATAGCAGTCCGAATAGCATAAAGCGCTTCTCCAAGCAACCTATATAAGGTGGGTTTAGTTTCTTTAATTATCTTTTTATATAATTCTTAATGTCATTATTCATTACAAAATCTTACTAATATTATAAATGCGAATGTTTAGATGGATGGATGTTCGTTTAAAAACAGCTGCATGGATATCGCGGTAACTTGGGATATATATAGAGAACGCATAGGCTACTTATTAAGTTTGTTTTTAAATCCGCGCGGACGGATTCGAGGGCAACCGCTAGTTATTTATTAAATAAACATATGTGTTATTGCCACAAATCATTTTTTTCTTGGAATTACTTACGTACAGTCACCAACCTTAAATAAATCACAATGTATTTACGTTGTGTCGTGCCAAAATTTTTACATAGTCACTTGTGATGTTAATTCGGTGAACACTAAAAACTCGTTGAAGTATGCTTTCAGAAACTAAAGTATGTTTTGTTTGCATTTATTAGACAAAGTATGCATGAGTTACGATATAAGGGCCGGCACGCACTGCTATTCACGTATTGCGAAAAGACGGAATTTTGTAACAGCCGGTTTTCAATTACTTTACTGTGGTTTTCCACCGTCGAAGCAAATTAAAAAAATCTTGTCACTCCTATTAACCAATTTAAAAAAAAATTGAAACTTACGAATACTAAATTCTGGCTAGAAGTACAGCATTGGAGATAAGTCTGTGATAAATTACTTATTTTCTAAGGACAAATGATTCGTTGACTTTTTGAAACAATTTCGTTTATAAAGTCAAGAAGGTTTGTTCGCGTAATGAAAATTTGGCCGTGTGCGCTTGGCCTAATATAGCGGGTCTAGCCAGTGAGCATGCAACCCAGTTATGTGTCGAAGACACGCTCTCGTATAACATGCAAATAATACAGCGATGATTGGTGTTGGTTTATTAAAAACAAGCATCAAAACCTGGCTTATAATCGCTTTAAAAAAACGAAATTTTTCGCCATAAACACGAAAACTTGCCATATTCAAACATGAACAATTGTCAATTTATCGAGATTTTATCTACCAAAATCCTTGTGTACTGTTATCTCTGTCTTCTTAACGTTAATGAAAGGGATAACAATATTTTTGTATAAGTTCGGCATTGTACTTCCAATAGGTAATTACATCTAAACAATTGAAAAATATTTTTTGTTAAGCCCTACCCATTCGCTAATTTATGCATTGAATAAAAATATCTACGAATAATAACATAGTCGTGTTTTTGACACTTTTAAATACTTGTGTTAAATTCCAAAAGATGACAACATTTTTTAACCTTAACATATTTTATAAAAGACCATGATGTCATATTAATTGTTCCTTCCTAAACTATTAGCCCAGAATAAGTAGACATTCATATTGTAATAAAAATATGCAGATTCAAGTCACCTATTCATAGGTATAAGAGTTTGAAAAGATTTCTTTCTTTATGTTATTTAAAACATTAACAGACATACAGACTCTTCAATTTTATTTTAAATTAATGTCAATTTATCTTTCTTGTCTTGTAAATTGTTTATTATGTTTTAACTATTATCAGTACAGTTAAGTGTTTCTTTTTAAACATTACGTTGGATACCGTAAATAGTTTAAGGTGATGCGCCTAATCTAGCTTTAACGACAGGACATTGCCTTTTACGACTAACAGTTGCAGTATTTGGCAACAGAAGGCGGTGAGTTATTAGGCTTGCGAAATTTCTTATTGCCAGTTCAAGTTTACAAGTGTCAAACTTACTCAGCCAAGGTCTTGAACTTTTTTACATTGAGTCATTTTTGTTGCACTTATTTTTATTTATTCTTGTTAAATATTCCTTTCCATTTGCCGTATTTTGTAAAAATAACGAAGAACAAGTCGACTTTCACTTTCGAAAAACGCATCTGCAGTTCCTCTGGTTTTGCAGATGTCCGTGGGTGTCGTTGATGACCTCGGTGTACCCGCCGCTGGTTTGCTCCCTTTCTTATATAAAAAATACTTTAATCCCTTAATTAATTGTATCTATTAAATGTAATTACGAAAGACCTTATAACTGGGTGTCTATCACTTAAGTAAAAAAAATGATTTATGCAAAGAGAAGAACGGACCAGTGTAATCGATGTTGCGGTATCGAACATTGAAGTGGTCGAGACTGCACGCGACATGTCGTCGACCGGTTATGTTTACTTTCACAGAACGTTAGTGAAAACTCTGAACTAAACACAAATATTTTCTCAGAACTATATACGGATAGCAAAAGATTTTTTCGGAAATGCAGAAGTTAATGTTGCCCGTAGCTTTAAATGATCTGTCTTTATTTTTTCCCCGAAAAAAATTATTTATATCAGAGTGTAAGTAGAGCTTTATAAGAAAATAAGTATTATTTTGTTTCATTCTAACTGAACAATTTATAAGTATGCGTTTCGACTAGTTATAACTAAGGCCTCCTTAGTGGAAGCTGAGGTTAAACGAAACGGAGATGGAATTGAAAAAAAGTTACCAAATTATGATTTATATAACAAATTTTGGTTTTTGTTCATCGGGTATGTTATCTTTTGCTACATAAATATTTGTAAAAAAATATTTTAATATATAAACATTGGAGACGAAAGGAGATTCCATTACAACCCTAGTTTCGACTGAATTACGCTTACAATAATATATTGTCAGTTCTATTTTATTAAAGAGAATGTAAGAGATGGCAAAACAACACAAGTGACACATTAGTGGAGTTCTAGGGTTATATAAGGATGTTTACTCACTTGTGTCTTCTAAAGTCAATGATAAGATACCGGACGGTCCACCCACCGCTCCTTATACGATTGTTATCGCCGACATGTGGGTGGCCATCCCCATTATAGTGTTACAAATCGTTATTTAAATAAATTACAATCTTTGATGTCCTAAAATTACTTCCTTTTTGCATTCACAATGACAAATACATTAAGGTGATGTCACATTAAATAGTTAAAATAGTAATTCATATAAATTAATATTACGTTTTCGTAATCGTTAATTCCTAGCTGGAAAATATAAGCGATCGTTCATTGAGTTTCTTATGTTACCATCAAATCGTAACCAACTTCATTATCTCACATTTGTAGTCATGTCATAAGATTGGTGTAAATTGGTAATTAAAAGTTGTATCGTATTTTGATGGGTAATTTTTCGAAGTTGATTGCTGAGAAATGATAAATCATAAATAAATATTTCCGTTTACAATCTGCTGATTGTATAATAATCATTTTCAGATTATAAAATGACGAAGTTCACAATCTGTCTGTGACATATACTATAAAATAATATAAATGAAAGGAAAGTTACAAACGGTCGGTCAAGGAGGTCCGCACTAATAATCTACATAATATTGTAGAAACTTCTGAAGGCTTTGATGCGCTTCACCAAGCACATAATATTTCTATAAAATTATCCTGCTTGCATTTGTTTCAATTTTTATCTACTGTCAAAATTTTGACGTTTGAAATGTCAATTTTGACAGCTGGCTGATGATCATGAGTATTGATGTATCAACAAATCGGAAAGCGATGCTTAGCGCGAGAAATCGATATGTAATTGTATTAATTATGTTAAAGTTAATTGTACCAGAGATTGTGCGTAGCTATTTTATCACTTAAAACAGAACTATTCAAACTTATAATCGGGTCTAAGAGAGAGTGAGAGAAAGAGAGAGAGAGAAGAAATAGTCGACAACGAATTACTACGTATGACGATTTAATGTTTTTATTTAACATTTGTATGTTAACAATTATCAGTATTTTTTTATAATTTCCTCTTTAACTAGAACCGAAGCAAATATTGAAACATGTTCGCTTCTTTGTAGGCATCAAAATGTTTCAAAGGATTTTTGTAAATATTTGCAAATCATTACAATTTTTGGTGCGCACATTATGTTTACTTAGAAATATGTCTGTAGCCAAATAATATTTACATATTTCGCACAATTTGTGATGTCTAGGGAAAAAACAAAACGTGTGTGTACTTAGTACTTAGAGTATTTTATATTTGAGTAATAACATCATCAAAGTCAGAATGTAAGCTAAGCTAGGTTTATGATTCTGACACACTTTCCATGAGTTCCCAGTTTGTCCTGGACTCGCGTAAAAACACATTGCTATCTCTATTTTTTTCAAACAGAATGACAGGGATGACAACATATTATTGAACATGAATTTTGGTAGTGAAAACGGTTAAATAAATCGTTATTGAGGGTGAGAATAAATTCGAAACGACGTCAATAATACTACATTTATGTTCACTGTAATATTGTAAGGATATGAAAACACCAGTGGCTTGTGGTCAGCCACATAATTCCGTTATACGGATCAAATATTTATTCCCTCTTATTCAAAGTACAGAATGATTTACTGGTTTGTGCAATATGAACTATCGTATCAACATTTACAATCATTTTGTCATATCTAGCTGTTTCCAATTTTCCTAATAACTCTCCTAAAGCCAAAAACTGTAAGAAAAATTAATATAATATTATTTTTTTGTTCCAGATGGGTTGCAAATTAACATTCGTCGATGATGTACTAAATCGATCGTTTTACAAATTGGGCCTGATAGTGGGGAAGCAGCCAGGATACTTCATCATCATCCCAGTTCTACTAACCCTGCTTATGGTCACCGGTTACCAACGGGTTCACTATGAGATGGATCCTGAGTATCTCTTCTCACCTGTCAGTGGTCAGGGAAAACTGGAAAGGAGAATAGTCGAAGAACACTTCAAAGTCAACTACTCTCATAGATTTAACGTGGGAAGGATTACTCGAGCAGGTTAGTTGTATATTATAATCATCGTCAGATTGCCCAATATCTGTTATCCCAATGCCCAATGTCTATTTCTTCCAATATCAATCAGTCTCGCTGTATATAAACGTATTTATGAAATGAGACATTACAATAATGAAACTATTCAATAACACCATAGGAATCAAGTCGTATTAAAGCGTTGTTTGTTAATCATAGGAAAATATCATCATGGTGGAAGCATCTTTGGAAAATTGTAACTGCTAGTTTCCATTATTTATATTGTTTATCTTCATCACAGCTTTTATCCATTGCTGGCCATATGCCTCTTCTCTTCTCTCTCTCATTTCATTATTATATTTCCATAAAATTTCTTGTTTTCTCACTCACTCTCTTTTTCTCAAACGATAAAAAGAGAGGAACCTCAGCAAAAATATCCAAATACCATTTGGTGATATGAAACTAACATGTATTTAACAGGTAGGTTTGGCCGAGTTATCATAGTAGCCAAAGACAACATCACGAATATGCTGCGAACAGAGGTGTGGAAGGAACTTCGTGAGCTGGATGAACTGGTGCAGAACATAACAGTTACTCTGCCAACTGGAGAGACCTTTACCTACAGAGAGGAATGCGCTAAATGGGAGGGACAGTGCTTCGTCAACGATATTCTAAATCTGGATAAGATTATTGGAGAAGTAAGTGCTGGCGTAAAAGTACAAAAAGATTTAAAAAATAAGCTTTCTTTTGTAAAACAAATGACGATTGATGTAAGAACCTCCTTTCCACTGCCATTTTTTAAGTACAGAGGTGCGTGGCTAATAACGCAAGTAGAAAAGGGGTTTAAAACGAGCACATCAATGCCTTGTTCTTATTTTTTCTTTTTTCTTAATGTGTCATCGTGTTATAGCCAGTATATTAAGTAGTCTTTATTTTATGTATTTCCACTTAACGGCTTGTTACATAGAACTGATTACGCATCCATCCAGGAATCATAACAATGAACTAATGATTCATCAATAAGAAACAATAAACCGCACATCGTAACCTACGATCGATGATAAAGCTATGACCTGAAAACTTTCGGACTTATAACAATTTTTCTTTGATAAAAACTTTTTTTTTAGCAATGGGATTGTTTAAAATCAAAAATTAAGCTTAAATCAGAAGTCCTTTGTGACGATTTTGTTAAAATGAACTTGATAATTACTCTCATTTCTACACTGTACCTGATTTACCGTTGCTGACACCAAAATCTCTGAATAAAACATATCGTCATCCCTGTCTTTCATATTTCACAAAACAGAGACAAACAATAATAAGTTTTAAAGGAGGCTTTTACTCTCATAAACCCGCGGTTCAAGTATTCAAAAGCTGTATAAGTATAGTAAAAATTTCAAATCCAAGACTGACCAAAGATTGACCTACAAATAATTTTTGACCAGGTGGAGCGTGGCGAATTGAACCTGACTTTCCCTATAATGTTTAATCCTGTGACATGGGAAGCGCATGCATTCCCCGTGTACTTCGGCGGGGCCACGGTTGTTGATGATACGATCGTTTCCGTACCCGCAGTTCAGCTCGTCTGGTTTGTCAGGACTGATAACAAATTACAACAGGAACGGTGAGTCTCAAATTACAGGGATATATCAGTACAAGGGTTTGAGTTAAACTGCAAAGATAAACATAATAATTAGCCTATGTGTTCTACATGGCTATTTCCTACACGTGTGCCAAATTTCATCGAGATCCAATAAGCCGTTCTGAAGATACCTTCAAACATCCATCCATCCATCCCTAACATTCGCATCTATAGTATTAGGAAGATTGAAAGTGTCCAAGTTCATGTAAGATGTAATGGCTAAGTTTCTTTAGTTTACTGACTTAAACTTAACTAATGAGTAGTTTTTTTACCAGCATTTTGTAAAATATATAATAATTATAGCAATAAACACGTAAATATAGTAAACTATCATGATAAGTGGCTCCTATTATAATCTGAAAGGAAGTAAATCAGAGAATTGTTGTACTGCCTCTGTAAATCATTACGTTAATTTTCGTACATTGTGTTCCTTATTGCATGTTTTCGGCTTAAAACCAAGTTGTACATTTAGTGAAACAAGTAAATCTCATAACTTAAATAATAGGCGCCGATCTTGACACGGTTTAAGAAATCGCTTCGAATACTAAACACTTCGTAATACTCGAACAGAATACGAATAGAAAGGTGCGAATGAATAGATAGAAGAATTTTCGTAATCGATCGAGATTTCTGAAATATTACGATATATCAAACATTTAAATTCGAGACGACTTAAATTTAAATTGTTCTCTTTATATAATATTTGGTATTAATTTTATAACACGAGCAAGGTTTGCTATTTATAAATACAGACAACATCAAATAAATGTATTTTGTTTTATGAAATTGCAGAGGTGCAGCGTGGGAGGATGCGTTTCTCGACGAAGTGGGCATAGCTGAAGATACGGGCCGATTCAAACACATATCTGTCTCCCGCTTCGCATCTCGAACTCTCGACCACGAACTGGAGAAGAACACACGAACTGTCATACCTTTCTTCAGCTCTACTTTCATTTTAATGGGCATATTCTCCATCATTACTTGCATGATGGGAGACTGGGTGCGCTCGAAACCATGGCTCGGTCTTCTAGGAAATATTTCTGCAGTCATGGCTACTGTGGCGGCATTCGGATGTGCGATATATCTAGGAATTTCATTCATCGGAATCAATTTAGCTGCGCCATTCCTAATGATTGGTAATACTTTCATCGTATTGTTTTTATAAAGTTACATATAATAATCCACATTCTTTAATCTCTTAGTCATTGTGGTTATCGTTTATTTTTATTGCAAACTATTAGCTAATGTCCTTTCAATGAATAATTACGTAGTAATGTGTTAAAATTGAATATGCCTTCTACTTCTGATATATAAAATATACTTGACCTTAAGATTTCATACCAAATTCTTGATATGTAGATGGATAAGTAGAGGACGGGCAGACATAATGTAAAGGTGAAGAGAATTTTGTTTTGTTCATGGTGAACTAGCTGTCGCCCGGGTCTTCGGGTCTTCTTCGCACGCGTAGAATTAAAAAAAACTTAATAACTAGCCTATGTTTTCTTCCAAACTATATTCTACATCTGTGTGAAAATTTTTCATGATCCGTTCGGTCGTTCTGAATATAATATACCTTGAAATAAAAATCCGTGTAAACATTCGCATTTATAATATTAGTAAGATCACTATTGCTTAATATTCCAGGTATCGGCATTGACGATACATTCGTGATGCTTGCGGCATGGCGGCGTACATCTCCCCGGCTGCCAGTACCGCAGCGCATGGCCACCATGCTGTCCGAGGCAGCCGTCTCTATTACCATTACCTCTGTCACAGACATGCTCTCCTTCTTCATCGGTATCTTCTCACCATTCCCCTCAGTGCAGATATTCTGCATGTATTCAGGTACATACTAAATCTGATTGTTTAACTGTTGCGATACTTGATTTATCAGCTTTATAGATTTTCTCCAAGTACACAATCTACATATCCAGGTCCGCTACCCGTGCACTGCAAACATTGCATGAATATTATTATTATGTGAATATCTGTTTATCAGGTCTGGCTGTATGCTTCACGTTCGTGTGGCATCTGACATTCTTCGCGGGCTGCGTGGCAGTGTCGGGTTACCGCGAGAAGCAGAACCGGCACACCATCACCTGGCTGAAAGTATTACCGGAGTCCAGAGCACGCAAAGGTAAAAGAGCGCGTACGGATATGATGGATCATGATACGTTAATTAAACCAAAGACATTTTTACTCAATTTAAAAGAGGGTTGTTTGTGTTTGTCTGTTTTATATATAAAATTGTAAATGTGTATAAGAAAAATTTGTATTGCATGTGATTTTATTAATCTTAAACAGCGGATCGATTTCTCGAATGTTCTTGTCCTCCCGGTATTTACTTTCACTACGCTGGTACTCGATTGCACTCACGTAAACATATTCTCAAGTATAAGAAAGTGAAGGCATTCGCACCTGGCTAGTGTATTATAAATTTTATAATAATAAGACAATTGTGACCTCAGCAGTATAATAATGAGATCTGTAAACTTTATTATGCTTAAGTAAAAATATAAACGAGGTAATAAAGACAATCGTAATAAAAACTAACTAGACATATGACTAAATACTACAATACAGACAGAGCAGACTAATAAACTTTAACATTCGGATAGCTCGCAACAAAATCTGTTACACGAATAGGTCGTTCCGGCCGGTGAAATACTATGACCACACGTAAAAGAAAGACGTAAAGTCAAAGTAATTCTGCGTTTTGTCCGCTCAATGTGTGCTCTCTTCCTACGATTAAAAACAGGCAATGCGTCACCAATGGACGATATTTAGATGGCCGCTTGCCCGTGTGGCACCTTACAATATATAAAAATGAAGAATATTGTTTTCAGAAGAGAAGTCATGGCTTTATCGGATATTCTGTAGCGGTGGAATAGATGTCGCCGACCCGGACAACCCGATAGACAACAAAGAGCATTGCATTATGGCTTTCTTCAAAACCACAATGGCGAATATACTCAACAACAGCTTAGTAAAGGCGCTAGTGATCGTTGTATTCCTGATGTATCTTGCCGGAGCTGGTTATGGAGTAACTAATCTTAAAGAAGGTTTAGAAAGAAGGAAGCTGTCTAAGGTCGATTCGTATTCTGTAGAGTTCTTCGATAGAGAAGATCTTTATTACAGAGAATTCCCTTATAGAATACAGGTGAATATCTAACCCTTTTCTTCGATTCTTCTTTATTATTATTCTAAACTCATCATCCTGTACATTTCTGATTATAAAGGTACGCAACAACACACACAATTGTACATTATTTGTGTTACTTTTTGTTTTTAGGTTGTCATCACTGGGAACTACAATTATTCCGATCCGCAAGTACAAGACGAAGTTGAAACGCTGACGCAAAAGTTGGAGAACACATCGTACATATCGAACTCTCTATACACAGAGTCGTGGCTGCGAACTTTCGTCAATTACGTATCGAGGAATAACGATTATTTAAACGTCACAATCGACAATGAAGTTGATTTTATTAAAAATCTAAAGGAGGTACGTAAAAGATTTCTAAAACTATTTCAATATTCTTAAATTTTTGGATGCGAAATTTTGTGTAAAATATAAAATAAAAAAAATTGTATGTATTTTTTGCAGTTATGGCTGTTCCCGGCAAATCCGTTTTCTTTGGACGTTAAATTCAACGAAGCAGGGAATCAAATTGTTGCTTCTAGATTTTTAATACAAGCTATTAATATTAGTGGTACGAATCATGAGAAAGAAATGGTTAAAGCTCTCAGGGAAGTTGTGGCCGAGTCGCCTCTCAACGCCTCTGTCTTCCATCCATACTTTGTCTTCTTTGATCAGGTATATTCTTATCTATACAAAATAATATCAAGTTAACTAATTTCATAACATGTTACAACATATTTTTTCTTTTGTTTTCTTTCAGTTCGAACTCGTCAGGCCAACGTCTCTACAGAATCTCTGCTACGGAGCGCTCATGATGATGATTACCTCGTTTATATTTATTCCTAATATCTTATGCTCTTTATGGGTAGCTTTCAGTATAATTTCTATAGAGATTGGAGTCGTGGGATACATGGCACTCTGGGATATTAATCTAGATTCTATATCCATGATTAATTTAATAATGTGCATAGGATTTTCCGTCGACTTTACTGCCCATATCTGTTACGCCTACATGGCCTCTAAAGCAAAAACACCCGATGAGAGAGTAAGCGAATGCTTATATTCTTTAGGACTTCCAATAGTTCAGGGTTCATTCAGCACCATTTTAGGAGTAGTGGCATTGTTGCTGGCAGACAGTTACATCTTTTCAGTCTTCTTCAAAATGGTATTCATGGTCATATTCTTCGGCGCGATGCACGGATTATTCCTACTACCTGTTCTACTGTCACTCTTTGGCCCCGGTTCGTGCACGAGAAAAACTAGCAACGTTAAAGTGTTGAAAGTGGAAAAACCTTTCCCCCATCCATATATTTTACCTCACCCACAATTGGTATTAAATGATCAGATTTTTAACGGAAAAAACATCAGTCCCAATGGCGTCTACAAAATCTACGGCGATGATAAGGACTTGGGTATCGGTACTTCGGGCGAGGACACGAGCGAAAGCAGCTCCAACCAATCTCAGAGGAGGCAGATCGGCAACGATGGAAACTCGAGAAAAAAATATGAAGACGGATGGAAACGATCGAGCTACCAGAGTACCAGTCAATTCCAGCCTTCAGGTGAATTAGATCTTTATGGACATGACACAGACCGAACTTGGCAAAGACAACGTCACGAGGACGGTCGTCGAACTGGGGAAAATTATCGTAGAAGCCGTGAATTACACAGAGACGACGATTGGGTCGCACAACGCAAAACAAGCGACGCGGGCCCTCACCGTGAAGGTCCCTACAGGGTGATGCGAGCGCACTCGCATCACAACATCCACAGGAACCGCGCGCCCAGACGTTCCAACTCCCACCACAACCTAGAACACTTAGATTACGTAGCGGAAATGCGTTTTCCTTGACAGTAACCGATCAACCTCTCTATTGTATACAAATTTAGTTAAAGAATAATTCAAGTGCTCAATGTTTGGACCAAAGTTTTACTTTTCCTGTGTGGGAATTGAAAATGTTTTGCGCTTAATTGTAAAAAAAAGTTGTATTAATATTATTGTAACGTGTACTTTTCATCGTAAGATTAGGTTTATAGTAATGTTAGGTGATATGCGAGACATAACTATAAAAGATTGCAAATAGTTAGAAAGGTGAAGAGATTGGACGGAGAATTGCCTCTGGGCCGATTGACCGGTAGGTCTGTTGGTCCAACGGGAAACACCCGCTTGAACCCTCTGTGTTATTTTTTTAACTCTAAAGATCCTAAATTCGTTTCAATACGGCAATGTCAATGAATAACGCATGTCCCAAATATTTTCAAGTATATTGCGATTATAAAGTCCCAGTTTCGCATATAAAATATGTAGTTAGGAATTGATATTTATAATACTATGTTATTGAAACACTTTATCGGAGGAAGAGATATATGGAGCATGGTTATGAATAATGAATAATTTATATCGAGTATCATTACGAGTTCCTAATGTCTATATAAATATAGGCTAACAAAATCGATTTTAATCCGATTATGCTACGCTCTTAATCTGACAAAGTGTTGAAATTCTAAATAGATAAGTTTTATTTGATATGTGAGTTTGCACTTACGAATCATTAAACATGTTTTTACGTTTTGGTTGTGCAAACTCACTGCTGTAGATCTGGGATGGGTGTGTCTTAGCCTTATAGAAACTTGTACATACGTGTATTTAATGTTTCCATCAATATACGAAGCTTTAACGTTACCTTTTTAAAACTGTGTACATATTTGTTATATTTCTGCTGCCATGTTGTGTCCTACATAAATCTGTGTACTTTACATTATAGGTCATATCTCCACATTTTTATACCAATTTCAATAATCCTAAAATATCAGATTAGTAAGAATTACTTGTGGTCAATATTTAAAATATACTTTTATAAATACTACCCGTGCACAATAACGTAACCTGTCAACAGACGTCACTGATATGATATCTTCAGACGTCTTTTTTCTGTAATCAGGTATCATGTTATTGTAGTTTTTCTGTATAAATGAAAATCATAAAACTTGTGGCTTCTGCGGCCATTGCTAAGGACTGAATAATGTAAATATATTTTGAAGTTATTTTATATGAAATAAAATTAGTTTTTATAATTAACTTACTTTTATTTGAACTACAATTAATTTAAATTTAGAAAATCAGGCTCGCTATAATTAAACAACAATTTTTGAATTCGCTTATACGAAAACACAGATCCAATTTAAAAAATAAAGGAAAATGATACCTAACAGAACATAACACGAATTTAACATCTTCATAACTAGAAATAATCCTAGTTATAAATAATATAGGAAGAAAACACCAAAAAAAAAATATAATCAAATTTGGAGCTGTATCTTAGTCAACCTGAGTAAGCGAGAAACCTCTATAAGAGAGAAAAATATCGCGTTATCTTAGACTCTCCTTTATCCATTCGTCTGTATATATTTAAACAGACTATGAGTTCATTAACTTTATAAATAGAAAAAAAACATATCTACAAGCCTCTTTTAAAATCCCGCAACAAATACATAATAAGAGGGATAATACAATAAGGCAAATATACTAAACTATACTATTACTATGGCCGTGGATAAACTAACGTAGATGCCACGGTCCGGTTGGGCGTAGAACATCGCGGGGTTTAGTGGGTAGTCCGGTCTTAATCCCAGACCGGGAGTCCTATACGAAACCGTCCCTGCTGCCCCCGCAGCACGGACGGCGAAGTGCATAAACGCATTCCCCGCGTTAACAAAAAAAAAACTATACTATTACTATGATAACATAAAGAAAGGCATAGTAGGAGTTAACATTAGAAATTAAATTTATGTCATACTTTACAATGATTTTATATATATTAATATAAAGAGGAAAGAATTGATTGTTGGTTTGAAAATACTGAACTGATGTGAAAGTTTTCGCATTGAAAAGCTATATGCCCGTGTGAGATGGGCTATTTTGATTACTAGATTTTTTTATTAATAGACTTATTTGTTGGCAATTGCTACTTTAATATTTAGTTCAAGTAATTGTGTTAAAATTTTAAAATTAAAATTCTTAGGATAGAACATTGCCTTTAAAGCATTAAAATTAAAAAAAAAATTTTTTGGAAGTGTCAAATTATGTATAAAACCTTTTTTGTTAGATTTATTATTGAATGTTATAAGTTTTTTAAAAAGTGTTTTGTACACGAGGTGCAGATAAAACGAGAAAAGCTCGCCAAAAAGCTTGCATTTGTTAAAATTATTTAAAAAAACTTCAATTACATTTAACATGTGTTTTTAACTAAAAAAAAACCTTAAAGAGATATTTTAAATATGTAAAATTTTAATTTAATGTAATGATTAATTTTATTACTAAAAAGTCGATAAAAATTTTAAAAAGTTCAGGTACACTTTGAATATGAACACTTTTTCTTTTGTCGTTTACCAATAATTTTCTAGAGAGCACCAAAAATCTGGTTTTACATATAAATTAATTATTACTAAAATAGTATCAGCAAAGAAAATGTTTTTCAACATGTGTTCTTTATATGAAATTCGACTACTTTTACAATTGTATTATAACTTGTTTTTATACAAGTATGTGGACAGTGGAAACACTCCGCTGTTGTATTATTTGGCTACGATATCTATCTTTTATAGAATGTTATTTCATACAATATCTTTTATAAGAATAATGATTTAAAGTTGAATTTTACATTAATAAAAAGATAAAATATTCTACGTTAACAATATTCAAACTTTCGTGAGACATTATACTAAACTGATATATAAACACGGCTAAACACTCACGTATATTTGTCCGGTGGCGGCACCGACTAGTTTCGAGCCCATCGGGGGCCCTTCATCAGGATGAGTGAATCATCAGGGTGATGAAGGGCCCCCGATGGGCTCGAAACTAGTCGGTGCCGCCACCGGACGTATATACGTGAGTGTTTAGCCGTATTTATATATCAGTTTATTCTACGTTAACATTCAAAACATAGTAAAAGTAACAAAAAAGTTCTTAATTTTAAAAAGTACCGAAATTATAATTTGTTATTAATCAATAAATGTTGCCAACTACTTGAATTCTAATTATATTTCAATTATAATAATAATAAAAAAGTTATAATACTGTCCTATGATTTCTAAATATCCATAATTCTAAATTAAAAAGTCTTTATAACATGGAAACATGTTTTGTCAAAAATACAATAATTTTACGAGAAAACGTAATTAAAAAGATTACTAATAAAAAATCATGTTCCAGTTCCTCTTCATTCTTGAAAACCTTCAACTTGACCGTTGGAATATTTGTTGCTGTCCCCGTCCCTTACATTACTTAGCCACTTCAAGGATCAAATTATTTATAATTTTAATCAAACTTGTTTTTTTTTAATTTGTTTCATCAGATACATTTCTTAATATATCGCTACATAATTTAATTAATTCTTTAGTACTAAAGCTAGTACATAGATAATTTTGTATCTCCGATAATGTCCCATTTGGAGATAAACTCTTGTGTTGATCCAATAATTTATTTATTATGTCGAAATTAGTAATATCTTTTTTGATTAATGTATCTGTTATACAATTAATAGGTAATTTCTTTACAATCTCCTGTTTTGTAGGTTCGTCTAAATGTTCACATAATTGATTGATAAAGTCCGGTTTCTGAAAAAAAAATGATAAATTTTATTTATGGTGATCGTTACATGTACACAATTAAATTATCTTAATGCATATATAATATAAATACGACTGTTCGTATGGATGGATGGATGTTGTGTTTGAAGGTATGTTTAGAACAGCTGCATGGATCTTACTGAAGTTTGGCATACATGTAGAACATAGTCTGGAAGTGCACATAGGCTACTAATTTAATTTCTTAACTCAGGTCGGAAGGACTCACGGGCAACAGCTATGTTATTTTTTTAGTATTTTTATGTTGAACATATTAAGTAGAATTTTGAATATTATAAATGCGAATGTTTAGGATGGATGGATAGATGTTTGAAAGTATCTCCAGAACAGCTGTATGGATCTCGTTGAAATTTGGCATAGATGTAGAACATAGTCTGGAAGAACACGTTGGCTAAAAATCGTTTTTTTTTAATTTCGTGCGGACGGAGTCGCAGGCGATAGCTAGTTAGTAAATTTCCATTTATTACAAGTATAGTGAATATTTTAAGAAAAAAAGATTATATTTATATTAATTATGTTTTACTTACTTTAGATAAAGATGCAATCAAACACGATGTAGTCATTTCTCCTGATTGTACAGTTTGTGTCTCAGTGGTGAATGTCCCCGCAGCATCTGTCTGAGTTGCAGCTAACGTTGAGTTCAATTCCGTTTGAACTTCTATATCTATCTTATTATTTAATTCATCTTTTTCATCATCCAATATTATAATATTTTCTTCTACTTTATATTCATCAGTTTTTGGTAATTCATTAATTATTTTATTATAATATTCAGTTAAAACTCTTCTCGTTACTTGTATTTTAGGTGATTTAATGCTAAATTTATTAATTTCTAATTCTGTTAATTTTGCAAAATCACTGATTGTAGTCACTTTACCTTCAAAATCTTTTATTAGTGATAATTTAACAGATGATAGTTCATCAATGATATTGTTTATCGAGTCCTTACAATTAATAAGCAAGGGACAAATTGGTTCGGTATCATTCCAATGAGTATTTGCCAATTCTACGACTGTCTCTTCCAGTGAATTCATTTCACTGTCATTTGAACTCGTCCTATCATTTTCTGCAAAACTTTCGACAGTTTTTGTCAAAGCATTTTCTAATCTTAATACATTATTGAATACAGTGTCCAGTCTCTTTGGAGATTTCGGATTAGTGGGAACACGAGCTTGTCTTTCTAAACGTTTCATCATAGAATTCTGTGGCGAACGAATACCTAATGGTTCAATGTATTTCTTCACGCAAATTGTTGTCGAAACTGGAGGATCGTGGAAGCTCACCCTTTTCCTCTGAAACATAGAAAAGGAAACATTAAAAATCATACTAATAATAAAAATGCGAATGTTTGGATGGTTAGATGAATATTTGTTAGAAATTATTTGTAGAATGGCTAAACGGATCTCGATGAAAATTGTCATAGATGTAGAACATAGTCTAGAAGAACACATAGGCAGGAACACATTTTTTAATTCCACGCCAACGAAGACGCGGGCATAAACTAGCGATAAATAAAACTCACTTTAGATGCCGGAGAGACAGTGGTGTCATCAATAATGTCATGTAATTTCCGTTTTAAAATAGGTCCGGAAGGACTGCTTTCAGCAGTCGGCACAGGTCTTTTCAGTTTAAGAAAACTGCTATCCTCTGTGTCATCACTTGGTTCACTACTTTCACTTGCTGAATTATACATAGTACGTAAATTTCGCCTAGCAGACATATTTGTAGCAGGAGACCTTTTATTTTCTTCGGGCTCAGCAAATTTATCTCCAAAATTAGTCATCCCTTCAGGTACACATAACTCCAGCATTTGCGCAGCTCTACCAGATCTCACTTGTGGACGATTCTTCTTCAAAGACAATGAAGAACTGGGACTTGAATTATTCAAAATGGGCCCATTTCTAGGAGGCGATTGATCTCTCTTGTCCGGAGATATTTTGTCATTTGTGAATATTTCAGGGGAATTAGAATTATTATAAGGTTCCCCGTTACTTTGGACGGGTGATGATAATTTTATAACTACAAAATCGTTACTAGTTTCTGGTGTTAACGATTTTTGTTCTTCCCGTATGGGACTTAATATTTTTATTGGTGATATCTCTAAAGTACTATTCATAAAGTCTTGTTTTCTTTGTACGTCATCTTTAAATGGAGAACAATAAGTATCATCATCTTTGTTTTCTAAAGGATTTGTATCAGCGTTTTGTGTGTTTGTCTCATTTTGGTTATTGCTTTCATCTGATACTGTAGATTGCAATGGTATATTAGATAAATTTATATCATGAAGTAAAAGATCGGGATCCTGAGGCTGTGTATCAGCATTTGCTGTTTCCTGGCTATCATTTTCATATGTTTCCTCTGAGTTAATAATCAAAATAGGATTATCATCTTTTATTTCTGTAACTTCATCAGAACTAGAAATATATTCAGCCAATTCTGTATCCATTTCTGCTGTCACGTCATTCGTTTTATCTTGAAGTACAGTCTTATTTCGAGATAATTCTATATCTTCATTGTTTTCAGCTGTAACTGTATTTTGTACAGCTTCAATATTATTTTGAGCATTAAAGAACACAGATTGAACAACGTCTTGTTTTGGTTCAAGAGCTTTACCTAATTTAGGTATTTCTTTAATATTTTCTAGAGCTACGATAGGTATTTTATTTAGATTTTTCGCTGATTTAATAGATATTGTTGATATTGAAGAATCTTGTGAACTCTCTATAATATCTTGAGATTGAGATGTACTTAAATCTTCTATTGAATCACTTTGCCTTTCAGTGCTTGATTGTGACTTGATTTTATCTTTAGATTTTGTATTATTTTTGCTTGAGATTTTACCAGATTTTGGTTTATTTAATTTTTCAGTGCTTTTTCTCGTTATAATAGATGCATTGGTTTCAATAGTTTTTCTAGTTAGTCTAGATGGAGATTGTTTACTTAAAAATGGATGTCCTTCAACCATATCGATAGCTAATACTTTTTCAATACGAGATGCTCTCCTTCCAACTTTTTTAGTAGATTTTGGAGTGCCGTCCTTACTCGATGTATCTGGGGTGACATTGTCTTTGTCAATATTTACATCACAAGGATCTGTATTCGCCGTTGCAATTTCAATAGTTGAAGGAGATTCACTTCTTGAAAGTTTAGTTGTGTCAGCTTCTAAATCAATCGTTTTTGGTATATTTACAGTTGTATGATTAATATCTGTTGATTTAACATCTACTTGAACTGCTTCGATATTTGTTGCCTCTTTTGATACGTTTTGTTCAGATTTTTTGACAATATCGTCTTCATTTTGTGTCCCATTGTCCTTAGTTATATCTTTAAGTTTTGAAATACCATCAAATGATTTTGCTTCATTTTCAAAGGATTTTTTATTTTGTTGTTCTGTCTGCTCAGGAACTATACTTTGGGAGTTATTTTGATTGAGAGAACTTCTTCGCTTTTTAAGTGGTGATAGCTTGTGATCTTCCAATTTCTTAGGCTTTCTTTTCATTCGTGTAGGTCTATCTGCATTTATTTTTGGAGGCGCAGAATTAACAAGATTATTATCAATAGACTTTTTCCTTGTAGGTGTTAATAGAAGATTCTCATGGACCGTTGAATTCAAATCGTCTTTTTGTAAACCAGATTTTTCAATTAGATTTTTAACATTTCTAAAAACTCTGTCTTTTATTGCCATTCGAGGTGTTTTTGCATTTTTAATATGTTGTTCCTGTTTATTATTTGAATCAGAGGAGTCGGAGATTGTACTTTCTTTTTTATCTTTCTTCAAACTTTCAGTCAAAATATTTTCAATGATATTTGGTACAACATTAGAACATGGCATGTTCTTTAGCATCGAGGATTCAGTATTGTTTTCCAATGTGTTAGATTTGCTAGCCGATGTTGAATCTGAATTAGTTCTATAAACTGTTTTGAATTCATCTTGAGACTGAGATAAATCTTGATATAAAGCAGGTATATCTTCTCTTGTGCGTTTTAATTTTTCTTTTTGATTATCAGTCAATTTCTTTGGGTTAAATTTCCAATTAGAATTTACAACAACGTACTCCTCTCCGTTTTCTACAACTGTATTCATAATATTTGAATCCTTTTTCTTTCCCTTTTTAACTATAGTTTTAATTTCTGGTTCAGTGAAATTATTAGGTTTATCTGAACTTTTCTCTTTTACTTCTGTTTCCTTGGAAGTTACAATTTCTGTTCCATTATTTTGTGCAACAATTTTATTTATAATACTATGAATCCTTTTTTCTTTTTCACTAAAGCATTTGCTGCATTTTTTCAACTCGTCAACTATTATTAATTTATATGTACTATAATCTTCTTGTTCAAACAATAATTCCAATGGCTCAAGAAGATTTAAAATAAAATTGGTGTGATCAAGATCCTAAAAAAAAAGTTTCAATTACTTTTAAACTACTAAAGTTAAATAATATTCACAGTTAAAAACCAGGTAAGTTACCTTTTCAATTTCTTTGAAATATTTGATTACCATCTTTAGAATATTATTAACAATCAATACTGTTATTTTAGCTAATTGTTTATCATTTTCTTCGGTGAGCTTGTTGACCATTGAAATAATTGTTTTCAGTAGAAGTTGTATGTTATCCATAGAGTAAATTATATCATCTGTGGCGTACTGTAAGATTTCTGCGCACTTACAAATTAAATTATCTGAAAAGTCACAAAGAATTAGTTTTAATTTTTTTAATCATTTTTTTTAGACATTATTGGTTAGAATCCTTTGGCGGGAATTGCGTGCTTTTGTTAACAAGTCAATTGTCAGAATGATTAGTGAGGGGACATAAACGTTGATATTTTAATAAGGCTAGTGTTGGATTTTCTTCATGACAATATATATATTACAAATATATTTTTTATTTTATTTTGTACTCACCGTTTTCCTTATTCTTTTGTATCCTATAACTCAAAATGGTTAGTGAAACTTTATATACAAAATGTTTATTAGAAGTTCCTGTAATAGCACGATTATCGATAATTTCGCAAATGTCTTCATCAACACAACATTCGTCCACTGTATTGTTTGCAAAATTATATAATTTAAACCATACTTGTACAGAAATATCAACCTGTAAACAAAAAGTTACTGTTAATTAATATAATTGTAAGTAGTCACTCCTAACTTAGGGTATGCGTAACTTAAATAAGCAATTACAGATAACGACTCTGGCCTTCAGGTTAGGGGTAAACGAGAGGGCGACATCATGTGGCCTATTAGAAAAAATCATAGGGTATGCTCCGAGCACCACAGTGGGGAAGTAAAGTGAGCCGATGATGAATATTAAGTAAACATTTTAAAACAAAATTTTTAAGACTATATCTTACTAATCTGATTCATACTTAATATTTCTTAATTACTAATATAAATGCGAATTTTCGGCTGTATGGATGTATGTTTGAAGATATTTCCAGAATGGCCGAATGGATCTTAATAAAATTTGGCATACATATATAACATAGTCTGGAAGAACACATAGGCTACTAATTATTTTTTTTTACTACCGTATGGACAGAGTCGCGGGCGACAGCTAGTAACATTACAAATGCGAAAGTTTAGCTAGATGGATGGATAAATATTTGTTAGAAAGTATCTCCAAAATGGCTGAACTGATCTACCTGAAATTTAGCAAAGATGTAGATAATAGGAAGAACACATAAGCTACTAATTAATTCCGCACGGACAGAGTCGTGGACGACAGCTAGTGTATAAATAGAGTATATTCTTACCGATGTAAAGACACTAATTACATCACATTTTAAAGGAAGTAATAGCATTTGATGCAAAATATCAACAGATGTTGCACATTTCAGTTCACAAATGGCTTCAGCAAGCGATGTCCATAGTAATAGGCTGTTGTTTTTGTCAAGTGGAGGTTTCAAACATTGTACTGTCATTTGCTTTAAATATTCCTGAGCAATAAACTTTGCTAATGGCTTTAATGTGATGACGATTTCTTTTGTGTCATATCTAGAAAAAAAAAATATATTTTTAAATTGTAACATTTAAATAATTGATAGATTTATATACCAATTACAATATATATTATCTGGTTTGTCTAACCTTTCTATAGTCTTATTCAATAAAAATGACAAATTATTGTATTAACCTATCTATATTACCTTTATAAGGCTATAATCATAGACTTATAGAAAAACAGTCATGTCTGTATCATAAATTTAAACATTGTAATATTCCAAAATTAATACATAGGCAATAAATGATATTGTCAACTAGTGAAATATGTATATAGAATCAGAACATTCTTTATATACTAATAAAATAGAGACAGAAAGTAGTTCAGTTAGCACTCTAGAATATATATTTTCAATATTATGGTCAACCAAATTATAAGCAAATTTGTTATATTTAAAGAAACATACCTCGAGAACACATAATCAAGAGAAGGGCTCAACAATATAGATATGACACTGTGGATGGCATTATTCTCTTCATTTCCAAGTTGGAACACTGGTTGCACTACATCATTGTGACCAAGTATTGAGTTTGTCACTATGTGGAATACCAAATCTGACAATCTATCACAACGGTGGCACTGAAATAAGAATAAAATGTAACAAAATATACCAAAGAATTGGCCGATGAAGTATAGGAAATTTGTTTAAAAGTCCCGTTTAAAAACATATTGTTATCTCTGTTTTGTCAATGATAATGAAAGGGAAGACGTTATGTTTTATACAGAGATATCAGAAAGCCTTAATTAGTAAGTTATTACATAGTTTGGCTGTTATTATCAGCTTGATATTGTGCTGAAATAGACCATAAATTCAAAATTAATTTCCAATCTTACCTGTAACAACACTTGTAACATTTTCAAAAGCTCAAAGAATAAATTGTATCTTGTAGTACAATCAGGCAGTTCGGAAATAGCCGTAATAAATGATTTCCAAATACATTTGAAATGTTGTGTCACAGAATCACTGTTATCATTCACACATATTCTAATAGTCATTGTCAATGAATTTGTCCAAACTTTCCAATGGTCAACTAATAAATCATTAGTGAGTATTTTTTTGTTGAACTTAGGCATATTTACTATACAATCACAGTTATTATGTCCTATGATATTAGAAAAAGCTTGAAGTACTTGTCGTTTTGTGTTAATCGTAAGTAACCCTGGTGCTGACACAGACTTGTCACCTACACTGGGTTTACCAAAACAGAAGTACAAAAATGGCAGTAAAGCTATATGGGATAAATTTATAATTTTGTTTTCAAAACATCTTATTAGATGCAACCATGTATTCAGTTTAGCCAGTGCAGTCTCTTCGACTTTGGCATTGTTTGATGCCAGTGGTATTATAAGTAACTTCAGTCTTTTGTTTACATATGGCTCATTGGCTTCCACCGCAAAATTGTCAATCAAAGCATTCCAGCATTGGAAAGCTCTGCATCTGTTCTTGACATTCATTTTAAATGCAGCTTCTACTACCGGCAGCATAGAGTTAATAGGGCTACCAAAAGAGCTCATGTTCTTTGTAATTTGGCTTTTAAGTAATTTCGTAAAAATAATCCATAGTCTGTACCACACTTCATTGCCAGCTTCCAATAGATTTTGCAAATTTTTTGGGTACCTGAAATATATATTATTGTTTTCAAAAATCAAATATGTGCAGTACATATTTTAGTCATCATTCTAAAACTTGCTGTCGCTCGGGCCTCTGTCCTATGTGTTCTTCCAGACTATGTTGTATATGTGTGCAAAATGACATCAAAATCTTTTAGACGTTCAGGAAATGCTATCAAACAAACATCCATCCATTCATTCATCTAAACTTTTGCATATTATATTAATAAGGTAAACCTATTGTTTATCAAAGAATAACAATACTTACTTTTGTGGTGTATAAATACATTCTAAAACTACAAGCCAGGTGGGATTATTAGAATAATCAACTGCGATAAGTTCATCGGTGAGCATCTCCAGTGTATCAATTGGCATTGTATTTTTTATGGCAGTTGTACTTGAGGCAAAAGCCATTACTGTTGGCACAACTTTAGAGAACCAAATCTCAATACCCTCTGTCACAAATGTTGTCTTTTTCTCATGTGGTAATATTTTTAATAACTTGTTAATTACATTTATAGCCTAAAAAAAACAGATTTGATTATTATGAAAGTCTCATATAGTATAATACATTGTAACATTATTTGTGTCTATCTTTGAGATTTTTGTTGTTATAAGACATAGATATAGACTTTATTTAGTCAAATATACATAGAAGTTATTGATGAGTCTTTAGATACCACTTCCTGTCTATCCTCTTCGGAAACATGTACAATTTCCTTTTTGCAGAGTGCTATTATTGGTCACATAATGTCAAGTGTGATGTAATATGGGTGCTATGTGGATGTCACCATTACAAAAAAGTATACTAACCTGCAATCTTATTGGCATAGGTATCCTTTGATGGCAGTATAAATTGAGCATCTCGATAATCTCAATATAATGATCCACAGCTAAAGTAATCAGTACATTGTCAGGGTAGGAGAGAATAATTTCAAAACATAACACCTTCAAGTCCTCCACTTTATTAAACAGAGCCGTTGTTTTTATTATATGTAAAATTGCATTAGCCGATGGCACAAGATTTGGTATTTCATGAATGCTTCCCGTCTAAAAAGGTATTATAAAGTAATGTATTTTTTTTGGCAGTTAAGTGGAGAAAAAAAAAAGAAAACCAGTTAAATAATCATGGCTTACTTCATTTTCACCCACACAAAAAATATGTACAAATGCTTTCCCCAAGAGGTCATGTTCAAAGACACAATATTAAAGAAGCTACGTACCTTGACTTTATTTAACAAAGCACTCAAAACATTCAGAGCTTGAAATGGATTTTTCATATCTTCTTTAAGGTCACGTACGCATATTGCTAACAATCGCTCCAACACTGTCACGTTTATGGTTTTATTGCTTTTTTCTAAGGCATCTTGTATAGTTTGGTAATTTTCTTCATTTAGAGCAAAATCGTCTAGGTGTTCGAGAACTCTTTCTAAGTCTGGACCAACTGCTATATCTTCAGGCATGGCTACAATGTTTTAAACTAAATTAATTTGTTAATATGTGTATATAAACAGTTTTCTGTGGCAAAAATTATTCTACAGTTGGGTATAAACAGATATAGCATGTACACCAAACCCAGCACCGGCACATATTCAAGGAGAGCACTCTGTATCAAAAACTGATTGCCGCAATTTACTCTAGCTAAAAATATTAAACACGTACTTATAGTTTTAAATTTGATACTGGTGTAGAACTGATAATCCTTTATGTAAAGAAATTCATTTCATCAACATACAACTTTGACACATAACGCATTTCTGGCGCGAATAAAGACAAGTAAATTCAATTTGTTGCCAGTTCGAAAAATACTTTAATGATCTTAAAAACAGATAAATTCAATTAAAAAAATATAAGAACTAATTTATTGATTGTAGTAAATTATAATAGAAAGTAGTTTTTTAACAAACTGTTAGTAAATAATATTAGGTTATATAGATCGTACCTTGATAGCAATCACATATATCAGGATTGAGATCCAGGGTTTCCTTAGAAGATCGTCAAATCGTTACCGTGACTCATACATATTACTTGTTCCAGCTTTTCTGTACAACATTTTTATTGTTGCCTATTGCGGCAAATTTAGCTACCATAGTATAGCGGCAAAACTGTCTACCGTTCTGTGTATGACGAACAATAACTAAATATAGGTCAACTCGCCCTCATCACAATCCTGGATCTACCAGTGGTTAATAATATCACCTCGCGGGATTCTGGAAGGATTGCTTCTATATTTTCTTCCAGTACATTTGTGTTGAAAGAAAACCTAGAATTTTCGGTGTCGGTACCTACTCATTATTTCTTATCCAATAATGTAGAGAAATCAATGATTACGTTTTATCGTGTTTCTAAATAACTTAAATTTGAACATGAAGGAATAACTTCTACTATTAAATTGCACGTAGAAGAACTTTTATAGAAATTTTTTGTAAGGACAATATTTCTTATTAATGTATTTATTCACAAATGAAAAGAATGCGGAACAAAAGTAAATAATCTGCGGAGGCCTAACGAAAGAGAAGTCTATTTGCATGCGCATATTTAAAACAGCCAAGACAAAAATACACCGCTTTCAAAGTTCGCGTGCTAACTCGTAAGTTTACATGCATTCCTCTCTAAACATCACCGCATCTTCAGGAGTCAACGCCGTGGACGAGCAAATGCAAGCATCGGCTCGCTGCTCACGCTTATTCGAAGGCAAATCGTCTGCGTATGCGCACGCGTGTCGTGTCGCCGTCTACCGTCAGTTTCATAGAGCCTAACGTTCTCACGTTACGTGATAAGAATTGATGTTAGTGTTTTCGTGTGGCCATAAATTACAAACAAGACCATGTGTGGTTAGGACGTGCAAACTCGTATTAATGGTAATGTTTCCAAATTAAGCGACCGTCGTTGCGGCACGGTAAATGTGTTCATTAAAAGTATTCAGTAAGAGTTAGACGATAGTGATGCCTGGACACACTGGAAGTCCGTATTGGGCGGCAGTGGACTTCGACAGCGAAGGTGATGATGATCAATCGCCACAATCTCATCGCCGACTGTATCTCGACCCGTGGGATAACGATGCGTTTGGTATGATACATGGTGATAGCCCGGAGTCCAGCCAAGGAGATGTAATGAATTCTTTCGCCGGTGAACCAGTGAGCGCAAGCTTTTATTATGTACCCACCAAGAACTACGATTCTGGGGAAGATTTTCCGTCACCAATGAAACGAATTGTTCCACCCGAAGATATACCAGCATATCCTATGCATCGACGAAAGTCTTCAAAGATAGCTATACCGGAATACCCTGATATGCCGATTTACAATACCAAACATATTCGTAAGTAACTATAAATTGCCTAAATATTTTTTCGTTTTTGATCAACTCGAAAACCTGACTGTCTTAAAATCAAAAATTAAAAAAAATAATTAACTCATCAATCAGCCAGTAACTTTGGCTATGTTTTATTAAAAGTACAAAATATTTATAAAAATACATGCATCGGTACGCAAGTGCACAGATGTTATCGCACTATGGACAGACATGCTGAGGTTCTATCCTGTTTTCACTTTCATTAAATTATTCAGGGCTTAAGCCTCATAACGGATGCAAGCAATATAATTTATTTCAGGATTTAGTTAACTTTAACTTCGGAATTCTTCGTTAAAATTAGTTAAAATAATAAATATCAGCTCCTTATTAACAAAAATAGTTAATAACTCAATCGTAAAATATTTGGAACCTTATAAATAAGTCGCGGTTAGACTTGATTAATGCGAAACATAAACAATTACGACATGCGATAATAGGTAGGGGCATACAATAATGATTTATGCATATTAAAACTAGCATATGGCAGTCTAATCTAGGATTGTTTCATATCCTTTAATTCATGTCCAACTTTTAGTTAAAGTTACATAGTACATGAGTTTTTTTTGCAGCTGATCGACGTCGTTCAATGTATCTAGAAGACCCTTTGTATGCGCCTCATCCAATGGTTTACGAAACACCGTACGCGTATGCCCCGCCTCCAGATTACATGACGCATAGACCCCGCATGTCGCTAAATCACCAGCCGGACTACATGATGGCGAACCTCTACAACAAGCATAGAAGAACCTCCAGGTTTGTACTCAATATGAATTCGTTATTGCTCAAACTGATTCGTCATTCAAATATTGCGTGACCTGTAATGAATATTAAAATCGTTTAATTAATTCATAAACTGTTCATATATTGAAGTAGAACTATTTCATAACTGTTTTTTTCCATATTTTACGGACTATTTCATTTGAAAATATTCCTTTACTTGCTGTCGCCCACGACTACGTCCGCGCGGAATTAAAAAAAAACTTAATAAGCCTCTGTATTCTTCCAGACTATGTTCTACATCTATGCCAAATTTCAGCGAAATCTATGCAGCCGTTCTGGAGATATCTTCAAACAAACATCCATCGATCAACCCATCTAAACATTCGCATTTATAATATTAGTAAGAAGTAAGATCTATACGTTATATTTAGAATACAATACTGAATTAAATCGTATCGTTTTAAGAAATTTTTAATAACTTTACCAACATTTCTTCGTGTATTTTCTTTTTCGATCTAATAACTTTGCTGAGCGTTAATTAGTGGTTTTCATACAGGTAATTGGCGTAAAGATGAGTTTAGATACTGTTAAATTTAACACGATTCAAACTCATAGTTATTGTAATTGAGAAAGTAATAATAAATATTGCTGTAGATAATCAATAGGTATTTTAATAAGCTAGAAGTAACTAGAAGATGCACATAAAGTTAGGTTACTTGAACCAATTATATTTAACACAAGAGCAACATTGTTTCTAGAGATTAACACAAAGAATAACGAATGAATTCATATGACTCGGAATTATAAATGTGTTTTCTTACGATCTATCTAAGCCACGCTATAGTGAAAATGCTAAGTAAATTGTGAAGACGTCGGTAATAGGCGACGTCACGGCCACTAGCCACAATACCTGAGACGATGCACGATGTCGAGCGACGAGCGACATACAACACGCGAACATTTACACGGTAAAAGACACATATGATGATAATTATTCGATTCCTTCTTGCCTGTACATTGAAGTGTGACCAAAAATGTACCGAACTGCGTAATAAGTCAGCTCTATGACCGAAAATGAATTTTATCAATCAAGGTATAGTTTGAGATCAATCTGTGCAGTCCTATTAAACAATTTTGAGGCAATAGTACTGTCGATATTTACTTTCAATGCTCTAATGTAGCTGAAGAAAATTCTATTCGACCAAAAGTAAACTTAAACATGACAGGCTATTGGCGGTATGAAAAGAATAAAGGCCCAAAATATCTCACAATGGTTCAGGTTTTATTTCTATTTTTAAAATTATACTTGTGATGCCTTAATTAAGTTCAATAGTGTGTTGACTTAGGTACCTTAAGCTCGTAATACGCCGTGGCTACTCAGCGTGTGAAAATGCGTCAGTTTTTGCTCGCTACCAATGAAAGTTGCATCTGTGGGAATCTAGCTCGTTTCTTGTTTACGCAGAGAAACTTGTTCCTAGCATTGACCTCTGTACGTAATGAAAATATATAACAATAAAACATAATTGTCATTGACCTATGGTAGCAAGAATTCCCAGCCCAATAATAAATTTACGTCTTTTTATTTATCCAACTCTATAAGGTATTAGCTATCGCCCGCGCTGTATTAAAAAGCATTAAGCCTATGTGTTCTTCCAGATTATGTTCTACAACTAAGCCAAATTTCAACGAAATCAATGCAGCCGTTTTCGAGATACCATCAAACAAACATCCATCCATCCATCCATCGGTAGTAAGATTGCGGAAGGAACTGTCATAAAGAAAGCCTTAGGTCTGAATGTTATTTTGACCAGATATGTGATTAAATCTATTGTTATTTGTTGTAATGGCAGTCTTTACTATGAACCTACGGTTTGTTTAGCAAACAGTGATGACGGTATTATTTATTTATTTATTATGTTTTTACTATCTATGATCAATATCTTTGACACTCAGACATGTATGTGTAAGAAATATAGCTTAGATTATACTGTTTAATTAATATATTCAGTGTGTAGACGGCTTAAAGAAAACAGTCCATCCGTTTCTCACGTTTTATTAAGCAAACAAAAGTTTGTTTTTAACTTGATAACCGTGTAGGAAAAAAAAAAAACTTAAAATGAGACAAGTTTAGTAAACATATGTCAGGTCACATGTTCTGTATCCTACTTGTTTTTAAACATTCGCAGTTTGAATACGCATTAATGATAAACAATGAATCGTGTGAATTTTGTTTGTACTTTAACTAAAGGCATAAACTAAGATCAGCTTACTATACTGCGCCACTGAGGGTCTCGGAACGTACGCCAGTGCGGGTTGGTGACTTCACACATATCTTTGAATTTCTTCTCAGATATGTGCAGGTTGCATCACGATGTTTTCCTTCACTGTAAGAACTTCCGAAAATGTATATATCAAAAAATCGAAAAACACATTGGTACTTGGCGGGATTTGAACCCAGGACCTGCAGATTACAAGTGCTTAACCCATGAGCCTACGACGCTCTAGACTAGGATGATATTTTAATTAATATTTACCTAGTTTACTTCGGTGCGTATTACATTTTCTCATCCGTGTCTCTACATAATCGGCATCGTACTACGTATTAGATAACCATCGGCTCTTCTCTATGACTTAAGACTTCGCACTAATTCGCGAACGGTACGCTGATTCCACTAGTTCAACTTTCTAAATGTGCTCAAAAAGATCGCGTAATTCATGAATTAAATATTTTGGATGTATAAAAATATATGTTATAAATCATAGGCGATAGTATTTATTACGTTTAATTGTTAAACTATGAAATTACTAAACATATAAAAGTCTTAGTAAGAAGAAATAGATGCTATATATTTTTAATAGAGTTACACACACAGAGTTAAGTATAATTTTATAAGTCATCTGATATGGATGTGAAAATTCTTGATAATTCGAGGATAAATAAAATATATCGAGGTAACAGGACGTGTATATTTTTGAGACCATCTTCAATTAGTATGCGTTTAAAAGCACGAGTTATGCACCGACTTGACCTGTTTAATTTACATTTAATACTAATTATCCTTTGAGCATAGTAATGACTACACGTAATAATGACGCACTTAAATATTTCTTGTAACTGGTTTGAATAAGATGAACAAAATAGTCAACTTAATTCCTTCCATTCATTTCGTATTCTTAATTGTAACCATGAGCTTCAACTGCCGGAACCTTTAGTTCGAATAGAGAAATGAATTTCGCTTTTCAAAATTAGTCAAAGTTAGACTTGTGTTCTCCCTGAAAGGTTATATTAGTTAGATGTTTTAAATTAATTATTGCTTGTTTTTATTAAAGGATGGCAGAGGCATACGAGCAATGCGTTTACGAAAGCTTGTCGCCGGAGTATGAAGATTGGGCGCGGCCGTTTCCAAAAACGGCGCCCGACAATTTCCATCTCTCTAGGTACGGTCATTTGCAGATCGACTATTCCTGCAGCTGGAATTCACTCGATAGACTTATTCGGAACCATTGAAGATCATCAACATTCTACATGTTCTAGACTGAAAGAGAGAGTATGTGGTACACATTCCATAAATGTCGGAGGCTAAACTGGTAATAAAAGAGTTCTTATTTTTATAAAATGATTATTACAGTCGTCAATAATTAAATTCTAAATTTAAAAGTCTTATAAGTTAATAACTTGCATAAACGAAGATGGCGGCCACCACAGACTATGTCAACACTTTCGTTAGCGACGCTTTGGAGGGAAAATGCAATAACGATGTCACCGGCTAGGCAAAGTGAAGACACGTGTTCAATGTATACATAGAACTAGTACGTGCCTATTCACTACGTTATGCAATATGTTGGATAACAAATGGATGAGTTGTGTAGTCTATAAACGTTTAATAAAAAATATATTGTCATATTTTTATCATAAAAAGATGATCAAGAAATAAATGCAACATTTTTCTCATCAGCAAATGATAAATTGTGTAATATCAGATAACCAATGAAAATATAGTGATAAGTATACTATTTTAATTTTAATATAACACATCATATATTACCCTGCCTTGTGTACGAAGGGGTTTAAATTCTAGTTTTAAAAAGTTTTAATTACTGTATTGTAAGAAATATAATTTAAGAATGAATTTTGTTTGCTAAATGCACCTGTATAAGTTTTTTTGTAAGCTTGTCTAAATACCAAAAGATGTAATATTACAATGACATCTGCTATATTACAGTTTTAGAAATTGTTTCTTAGCTTATTTTAGTAGATACGTATTATTAGTAATCAATTGTCTAAACATTCACTAATAACTATGTAAAAAATATTTTAATCGTGTTTTTAAGATAAACGTTGGCCAAAGATAATAAAAAAGTATTGATTGTATTTTGTTTTTAATTTGGATATAATTAAATAATTAGAAAACTTTCTAATTTATTTGAAATTCGGTTTTAGCGAATTAAACTGAAACGTGTTAACTTACAAACTAAAGTAGAAATGTGCGAATTTGATTTAAAAAAGTATGCATTTGATTTGTAAAACTCCGGATTAGAGTTTAAAACATTTATATTTTAAATATAATTAAACAACGACATTAAAGGTTTCTTCATTAAAATTTATTAATTGTACGTAACTAAATAATTTTAATTTAAAGTTATATACTTTTAGTATTTGGTACACTAATTTTACATTGTACTAATATTATAGATACGAATGGTTAGATGGATGGATGTTTGTTTGAAAGCATCTCCAGAAATTCTGCATGGATCTAGCTGAAATTTGACATCAATGTAGATCATAGTGTGGAAGAACACATAGGCTCGAATTTTTTTTCATTTCGCAGTGACGGAGTCGCGGGCGACAGTTAGTATAGCAATACTTGCGATATACGTATATTATTGGAATCACTTACGAGACATACGAGGTATCGTTAAGTCTTATGGTGTGGTTAACTTTCGTTTATATCCATTAGCTGGAGAGTTAAAACGAGTGCATACAAGCTTATTTGAAAGCATTTACTTAACACTTTCTAGTTTGTAGAAAATTGTAAAAGTGTCTAGATTCTAGATCATAATTTAGAATTACGAACTTTGTCATCATCATTATTACAAACCAGTGCGTTTCAACGTTAATTATGATGCAGCTCCCTCATCTCCTATGTAGGAGATGGAAGAAAAAAGGACACTTTTTGGTCCTGTAACTTGTTATTCTTGTTTAGTAAGTGTAATTGCAGTTTTTTTTAATAAGAGAAGGGGCCAAGCGAGCGGAGAGAACACCGATGTGATCAACGACACCCATGGACATCCACAACACCAGAAGAAATGCAGATGCGTCGCCGGCTTTTAAGGAAATGGTATGCTCGCTTCTTGAAGGACCCTAGATTGTATTGGTTTTTGTGAGACTCCTCCGTCATTTAATGGTAGGCAACGCATCTGTAAATGCAGATGTCTGTGAGCAATGGTCATGAATGTAATTTCGGCGAATTCTAGTCGGTTGTTCATTTGGCACCTTATAATATATGAATAGAACTTAGCGTATACACAGTAACTGGTATGCAAACAATGGCATTACGTTCTCACTAGCCTCAGTCGCTATACTTCTAGCTACATAGATTATGTCTATCATAGCACACTTAATTAACGTCGTATGTTTTAAAGTATTCTGTTCTTTGTATATCATTATAAGAATAAAAAATATTACATTATATTGTCATGTTGATTATTATTTTAATAGGCAATGTAGCGTCTTTGATAAAAATCTCATTTTTATGGTAATGACTAGAAAGTAAATGCATGTCTTAGTCGAATTATATTTAAGCTTCAGAAGAACATAAGGTCATGACGTAACTTGAAATAACGTATTTGTAATTATCATAATATAGTTTTTTATTGTAGCAATATCGTAACGCGTGTTGCAGCGACTAAATTAGAAACGGCAACGAACAGATAGGGCGATTACAATTTACATTAAGAATGATGTTGCAAAATATTCTACATGCTTTAAATTCTTGTAGATTGCGATATTTTTTAACCCAAACATTTAAGGAAAGGACTTTAACATTACCAGATACAGTAAATATCACTTAAATGAATCGTCCCTGTAAGTGTAGCTACATATGTAAGTAAACATTTGATGGGTGTTTCTCCCGAATCTGTAAAACCGGAAACTACTATAAGATTAAAAGAGCGAAGTGAGTACATCTTATAATGTTTGTCAAATAATAAGTTGAAGTGTTTTTCAAGCCTGTAATCTGACACTTTCACGATCAAGTACTATCTGTCTGCCGCGACTCCGTACTCACTTTTATAAAAACTTAGTAGCCTCTGTGTTCTTCCTGGCCATGTTCTACATCTATACGAAATTTCATCGAAACACAAATTAGTGATATTAATTGAATTATCATAAAACATGTAACTTTGCTGAAGTTTGAGGACTTACCAAGGTTAACTAAAAGTTTTGAAATGAAAAAATAAAGAACAATGAAATCAGATTTGCATTCTTTTATAATTTTTTTAAGATTTGTAATTTGTTAACGTTGTGTAATTAAGATAAGCAAGAAGGTCGCAAAATGAATTTACATTACATATTGAGCAACTAAAGACGGTACCTCCAGAGTACTAACTGTAGTAAGAAATCAGATCGATTTTTCTAAAAGAAGTAAAACTACATGCTATAAATTCTACTCCTATTTTTACTTGCAACCTTCCATAGCGTGGTTTTAAACCTAAATAAATGGAAATATCTTAAGCATTATTTAGTTAAGAGTATTTATCTATATTAATATTATAAAGCGGAAGAGTTTGTTTGTTTAAACATTCAACAAAATTCTTTTTTTGTTGGATAGTCCATATATAGAGGAAGGCTTTAGACTATATAAAATTACGCTGCGACCAATAGTTTTTTTTTAATTCCGCGCGGACGGAGTCGCGGGCGACAGATAGTTTTCAGATAAAATGTATGTACTTCAAGATGCGATTGAGATTGTTTTTTAAACAGAGTGAAAGTGGATGTATTGCATTTGCAGACGCTTTGAACGTGCAAATTTATTTAATGAAATAGTACGATGTTGAATAGTAGATTTATAAGTAATTTAATTATTTCTAATTAACAGTTTTATGCTGAATTTAAAAAGAACCAAACCCATAAATTGGTGTTAATTGAAAAATAAAATAATTTTATTACGACAAATAATTTGTTACAATTTTAGGTGACTTTTAATTATTAAAAAATTTATTAAAAATCTTGAAAGTCCTTTACGTTGTACAGTTTACGTTTCTTGGATATTTTGAATTGTCCTTTATTCTCATTTGAATTGGCAGTGACAGGATTTACATCACTGTACGTGACTTGAATAGCATTTGGCGCTCTTTGCGTATTTTTCAGCATGCTTCTTGGCAAAGATGTCGAACTTCCTTGTATTTGATTCAAATCGACAGAGTAATGGTCAGATGAGGTTTCTCTGTTTACTGAATAAGGACGTTCTGCGGCGACGTTGTGTTGCGGTGCATTGTTGGCTAAGTATTCTTTGAATTGGTACTGTTTAAGTTTCTCTTCCAGTTCCGCTATCTTCTGTAAAGTCATCTATTTTATAATAAGCGAAAGGACGGAAGAGACAATGACAACAAACAAACAATATGTTGAGTCATCAATTGTAGCGAGATCGTTCGGAATTACACGACATAAACGATGAAAAAAAAAAAATTCATACTATATTTTCTACGTTCGGTATTTTATCATTTTATTGTTTTTAGGGTTCCTAACTTCGAAAGGAAAAAACGGAACCCTTGTAGGATCACTTTGTTGTTCGTCTGTCCGAGACAGACGAAAAGTCCATCTTCGCCGTGCAGGCAAAACTAGTAAACTCACCCTGCGGTAGGCGTCTATGTTGGCGTCATGCGAGGCGCTTTGTCTACACAGCTGGTCCTGAAGCTGAGCGTTTTGAGCTGCGCAGCGTTGCATCTTCTCTTCATATTCTAATACCATCGTATTCGTCTGTATGATGAAAATGATTACAAAAAGATCTAGAGTAAAAAGTCAACTGGCAGGTGACGGTCCAGAACAGCATGCGCTGGTGTTCTCCTATGTCAGAGGCCAAGATTACTCTCCATGAATCTTTTTAAGGTGAACAATAAAAATTTAAATGAAAAATTAGAAACAAACGATTTCTTGTAAAAGGCATGTAAAATATTATAACAATATTTTTTACAAAACATAAATCTTACTTTGTCTCTGTGCTCAGCCCAAGCTTCGTTTAGTTCGCTCCTCAGTTCTTCGTTGGCACATCTATATTGAGCAACTTCAGTATCGGCTACTTGTTGAATTTGTCGTACTTTTAAAAGAGAATAAAAAAAAAATCTTAATTCTGTATAATATACAACATTGCTAAGTGAATGTGAGAGATGACGGTTTGTTTTTTTACAACAGTTTTGTCAGTGGAAATTTCCAGTTACTTACGATGAAAAGTTAACACAAAACTTACTTTTATTCTCGTTCTCAGCCTTAACTTCTTCTATTTGCGCTTCGTATGACATGCGTACCTCCATTAGCACCTCATTTTGTTTCTGGATTATTACTTCTTTCTCCTCAATAGTAACAAAGTAATATATTAATACACTTTATTGATACAGATGTTTTTACACTTTAAAGTGTCCTGCTTTTTTGTCATAATAACTTACATTACACTAAACATTGATAAATTCAACATACCCTTTCCAATGCAGAAATTGTACATTCCTTGGAAATAATTTCGTCGCTCAATCTTTTTGCATCTCTCTTCAGATATACTAACTGTGAAACTGTCTGCTGAAGATTTTCAATCATTTCACGTGTATTTTGCAAATGATAACCTCGGGATTTGGCTAATTCTTGAATTTCTTTCAGTTCTAATTCTAATTTTGTATTAGCTTCTCTTAATTTTTTGCACTCTTCTTTTTCAGTAAAATACTCCTATTTGAGTAATTGTTATATTAATTGTAATGTTTTTATTAAATGCATTACACTAAACATATTAAAAATCTTACAATTTTCCATTTAGAGAATTTGTCTATTATATTTTTTAGGCGCTCGTCGGTATAGGTTTTATCCATTTTATTTAATCTTTTGTTTCATTTACATTATTAATAGATACACCATAAGAAAAAAAATATACAAAACACGACAGGATAAAAAAGGTGACTTCACATGAAACGAATAAATCTAATTAGGAATAATAATCCCAAAGAAAACTAATGTTGTTCAAAAACAAAAATGCATTTTTAAAACGGCGCCAAATTTTTTTTTTTGGCATAGACAAAGATCTTGAAGAAAAGGAATTTTAAGCTGATAAAAAGATTCCATTCTGCAAAAAGTGCATATTCCATTCAAATGACGTGATTTTATACTTTT